AGGCTGAAGTCAGGCAGGGGAAGTAAGGCAGCCAAGAGATTAGGAGACTTCATGCAGACGGAAGGGCCTTCATGAGGATCCAGGCTTTGTCAAAGCCGAGGGGCAAGGGTCCATCACCCCTTTTGCTATAGCCCCCCAAGTCCTTCCCTGGGGCCTCCCTGTGATCATGCCTGTCTTAGGTCGTTCACCCCTTGGGGAATCTTACCCATCATTGGCTAACAGATCAAGCATTGGGGGCCAGTTATGGATGAAGAAAAAGGAGCTGAAGCGGCGCTCCTGCCTGGGAGATAAGCTTTGTCTCCTTAGTGGCTTATGGTCCGAAGGTTGCTCACTCAGCCTTAGCCATGGGGGTACAGCTTCTGAAACCAGTTAGGGTGGTTCCCAACACCCCAGGCCCCCCAGGTCAGGGTTCCAGAGCCAGGAAGATAAGTCCCCACAACTTCTAGCTGCAAAAGCCAGTGGGGATTGAGTCAGTGGAAGAAATGTCAGGAGCCCCAACCAGTTCCCCTTATAGAACCCACACACAGACTTACTCAGATTCACTTCCTCTGAGCTCCAATACCCGGGTAGCAGTTTGAAAGGCACCAGTGGTCTACAGGGAGAAACTAAAGTGTCTGGCATCAAGGACAGCCAAAGCCATTGTCCCTTTTCTAAACCCTCCCAACAGAGCTGGCAAGCTGGTGCCAGATCTGAAATCAACCTGGATAACACTGAATCTGCCTTGGAGGTCCTTCAGAGACTCTGCCCCACCCAACTTACAGGCCAACCCAAGCTGTTTTTCCATAGGAAGGCTGGTTTTTACTCATGCTTCGCAACTTCCTAAATCCTATCAAAAAGCAAGAGTTGGTTTCAGTGAGTCTCAGGCCTGGCACTAGCAGCAGCCAGCCTAGCCTCAAAGCTTGGTGTCACCTGGGAATCTCCAAATCCAGCACAAGTAGCAGCCATCTCAGGTTGCTTTATAGGTCAGCCCCCACCCCAGCAAAACATGGGTGGGGGCTGACCTTAGCCCGTACACTTGGGAAGCCCCAGGGCTGGCACACCCAGTGGACAGCTACAGACCATGTTGGAGCACCACCACCCTGCCCCTGCACAGCCGACCCCTTCACAGAGGGTGGAGGTTGGTGGTAAGTGGTCACAGCCAATCCTTGCAGATGACTGGTCTGGGGAAATTCCTCCCGTTGACCTGCAGACAGTGATCAAGGCTCAACTTCAATAGGAGGGTGTACTCACCCCACACAAAGGGTGCACCTGGAGTATACAGCTTAGGTGCTAGGGGAGGCTGTGCCACTGGACCCTACAGGACACCTACATTAGGCCACACTACCAAGCACAGAGTCGAAGCAGGTCTACCTAATACATAGAAACAAACACAAGGAGGCTGCCAAAATGAGGAGACAAAGAAACATGGCCCAAATGAAAGAACAGATCAAAACTCCACAAAAAAGAGCTAAAGAAACAAACAAACAAAAAGGAGATAAGCAACCTATCAGATGCAGTGTTGAAAACACTAGTTATAAGGATGTTCAAGGAACTTAGTGAGGACCTCAACAGCATAAGAAAGACCCAGTCAGAAATGAAAGGTACACTGATTGAAATAAAGAACAATTTATCAGGAAACAACAGTAGAATGGATGAAGCTAAGAATCAAATCCATGATTTGGAACATAAAGAAACAACAACAACAAAAAAACAACCAATCAGAAGAACAAGAAGAAAAAAGAATTTAAAAAAATGAGGATAGTATAAGCAGCCTCTGGATTTCAAGAGCTCCAACATTTTCATCATTGGGGTGCCAGAAGAAGAAGAGAAAGAGCAAGAAATTAAAAATCTATTTGAAAAAAACAGTGCAAGAAAACTTCCCTAATTTGGTGAAGGGAATAGACATGCAAGTCCAGGAAGCACAGAGAGTCCCAAGCAAGATGGATGCAAAGAGGCCCACCCCAAGACACATTGTAATTAAAATGCCAAAGTTTAAAGATAAAGAGAGAATCTTAACAACAGCAAGAAAAAAAGCAGTTACCTAAGGGGTGTCCCGGATAAGACTGTCAGCTGATTTCTGAAAAGAAACTTTGCAGGCTGGAAGGGATTGGCAAGAAATATTCAAAGTCATGAAAAGCAGGGACCTACAGCCAAGATTGCTCTACCCAGCAAAGATACCATTTAGATTAGAAGAGCAAATAAAGAGTTTCCACAACAAGAAAAAAGTAAAGGAGTTCACCATCACTAAACCATTATTATATGAAGTGTTAAAGGGACTTATTTAAGAAAAAGAAGATCAAAACTATAACAATAAAATGGCAAAAAATACATATCTATCAACAGTTGTATCTAAAAAACAAACTGAGCAAACAAGAAGAACAGAGGCAGAATCACAGATACAGAGAGCATTTAGATGGTTGCCAGATTGGCGGGGGGGGGGTTGTGAGAGTGGTTGAAGAGGTGAGGTGATTAAGAAGTGCAAATAGGTAGTTAAGGAATAGCCGTGGGGGTGTAAAGTGCAGTATAGGAGATAGAGTAGCTGAAGAACTCATATGTGGGACCCATGGACATGAACAATGGTGTGGGGATTACCTGAGAAAGTGGGGGTGCTGGGCAGAGGGTGCCTAAAGGGGAAAAACCAGGACAACTGTAATAGCCTAATCAATAAAATATCATTTAAAATTTTAACTTTATTTTGCAATAATTTAGACTTAGAAAAAAAAGTTGTAAAAACAGTAGAAAGAATTCCTTGACTGATTCCCCTAATGTCAACATTTTACCACGTTTTCTTTATGGTTTTATGCGTGTGTGTATACATATTTTTTTCTGACAGGGTAGTCTGTTGCAATGATGATAAACTTTTTTTTTGCAAAAGCAAAAACGTTCTTTTATAAAAACACAGTGCAATTACCAACAGTGATAAACTAGTGTAAAAATATGATTTCAGCTTTAGCTCTTGTACTCTAATCAGAGTACAGAAAGTTACCCTACAGGCCTAACTGATTTCATCAGCTGCCCCACCAACATCCCACATGTGCCAAGTGTGTTCCAGTTACTTCCTCTGGCAACTCTCTTAACAATCCAGTGAGTTCGATGTTATCCCCATTTTACCAACGAAGGAGCTCAGGCTGACAGAGGTTAAGTGACTCGCCCAATTACACAAACATTAAACTGCAGAGCTAGAATTTCAACTCAACAGTGATTGGCTCTAATGCCCTCACTCCTTAGTTCTGCACGAGCATCGCTGTGTTTAGAGAGGATTTCATGGCCCCAGAGGATCGAGTCTGTGTTCCAGGCAAGAACAGAACCTGTGAAAGGAATGCCAGTGACTATTTCTCAGTCTTCCAGGGAAATGCCCAGTGGAAAAGGAGAAGGGAATGAGCACATGCAACTGTAGCTATTTTGTTACACAATGTATAAGATTTTTGGACACACTGTTATTTTTTTAACTTTTTAAAAGTAAAAAAACTTTTTAACTCGTTTTAAAAACAGATACAAAAAAGAGACGTAATACAAATAAATAACTTAATGAGTTCTGTTGTGGCTTATCCCCTTGTGTCCCCCCTGGAGGTCAAGAAACAAAACTTCAGACCCGGCGCTGGTGGCAAACAGCGATCCTGGACACGTTAACACACGATGCAGAGCATTGGGTTTTTTAAGTGTAAAACGAGACGATACTACAGTCACATGCTGCAGAATCACGTTTCGGTCAACGGTGGACCAATAGCGGTCCCACAAGATTATAGTGGAGCTGAAAAACTCCCACTGCCTCGTGATGTGGCTCTGTAATGTTCTAGCACAACACATTTCTCCCGAGTTCGTGGCGACGCTGGCATAAACAAACGTACTTCACTGCCAGCTGCATAAAAAGTATAGCTCGGTTACTTATGTAGAGTACACTTGATTGTGACAATAAACAGCTATGTTACTGGTTTATGTATTTACTACATCTTTTGTCATTGTTTTAGAGGGTACTCTCTTACTTATTTAAGGAGCGTTTGCTGTAAGATAGCATGTCACGTTTATTGCGTCTTTTGACTGCATGATTCTGTCTTGTGTTCGATGTATTCTCGTGCTGTTTTATCTAAAAACATTGTAGCCTAGGAGCAATGGGCGGCACCGTACAGCCTAGGTGTGTAACAGCCATCTAGGTTTGTGTTTACATAATGACGAAAGTCACCTAATGTTGCATTTCTAAGACTGTATCTCGTCGTTAAGGGAGACACGGCTGTATTTATTCCACCCCAGTGAGACAGGTCTGCCCATCCGCACGGCAGGGCTGTTCAGAATCTCAAGGGCAAAATTGAAAGGTGGGAGGTGTGGCTCTTAATCTGTCAAAAGCCAGCAACAAAATAAAAATCCTACAGACCCTGATGCTTTGAAGGTTGGCATTTGGAATGATTTATCGCAGCCCTAAATTTCTCGGTAACCTAGAACGGTGGTTCTCAAACTTCAGCACGCACCCACAACCCTGGAGAGTGTGCAGAAATGAAGACTTCCGGGCCCCAGCCCTAGAGTTTCTGACCTACAGTTCCTGGGGCGGGGCCCGAGAATTTTCATTTCTAACAAGTTCAGGTATAGGCTGGGTCCAGGGAGTGTAATTTTCAGAGTCTGGTGTGCAGGCTAGGATTCTATCTAGGCCACTTAGGTTTATCTGGTCTCAACTTCCCCCTTCTGTCCTCTGAGTGAGCCAGGGAGCAAGGAGGCCCTTGTTAAGTGAAGTGCAAGTCCCGGGCGCCTTATCAAGCTGCTGACAGCGGGGCCTCTCGATTGCCTTTGCACAGGGTCTAGCAGAGGCCGACGAGGAACCAGATAACGCTATCGGGAGTCACGCGGCTGCGCGTGGCCTCCAGATTCGTCAAGCCCATTCCCCACCCCCCGGGTCCGCGGTCATGGGGCGGAGCACCGGGCGCAGCAGGCTCCCGGGCTGCGGTCAGGACCCGAGAGGGGCGGTGCCAGGCCGCGGGTCCTCAGTCAAGTGACGCGAGCAGCTGGCCGGGGCGCCCACTGCGATGGAGCAGAGAGGCTGGAGAGCGGATCTGCCGGGGGTCGTTCGCATCCTCTCTCTGCTGCTGGTGTCCCTGCTGCTGGACCCTGCGCACGGCTTGCGTGTAAGTCCACAAGACCCCCGCGCGGGGATGCATTGCTAGGGGACATGCTGGCGGAGAGCCAGGCTGTAGCTGCGGCCAACAGGGGCCCTGCGAGGCGGTGGGCCAGGGACCCGGGACCCGGGACCCGGGACCCGGGGTACCTCCGCAGAGAGGCCGTCTACAGAGCGCAGGCAGTGGACTGGCCCTCCTGCCGGGGGCGGGCCGAGCGGGGGCGCGTCCTTCCCGGTAGCTTGTCGCTTGTGTGCTCCGCTCCGGCGACTGGTTTCGTTCGAATGCACATCCCCAAAGGTGCTGCGAGGTGGGTGAGACGAGGTGTGCCCACACCTTTCCCGCTCCGCAATTTCCCAAGGCGGGGACTTGGAAACCCCCTGGCGCGTGTTATTGGAGGAAGCCTTGGGCTCTGGGCTGGGGCGCCCTCCCTTGCCCGGTGTGTGCCCTGCGAACTGCTTTGGAAAAAAGAAAAATGGGGTCAGGGGAGGCCCCGCCATGGGAACTTTGGGTTAATGTCCTCCAGGAGCTCTCTTTTCAAATATCTCGCCACTCCCCGCCGCTTCCTTTTATGGCTAGGATTTTCCAGACCTTTTTAGGGTAGTCCAGGCCGAGGGCGGAGAGGAGACGGGCGGCAGGTAGCAGCCCGAGCTGCTGGAGGGGGTTCTCCCGGGGCGATAGGGGAAGGGTAGGGGCGCGTTTGCCGGGACAAGAAGGACGGCGGAGAATCGAAACCGGCACCCCCCCCCCCTCTGCACGTTCAGCGATCCAACTTTGGTTCCTCCCCAGTCTTGGGGGGGCTGAGCCTGAGCCACGTTTTAAGCAGAAGGGATGCGATTTGGGCTGGTTGACTTGTTGGCCTAGAGCAAAACCATACATTTATCTAAAGCAAGGGTAAGAAGCTTAAGTATTTGGAAAAACTTGCTGAAAATATTTTAATTTGGGGTTCTTCTTGGAGAAAGGTCACCTCAGATGGAGGGTTTGCTACCCCCTGTTTATTGGGGCCTGTGTCTCCCCTAGCCCAGTTTTTTGGCTCAGAGTCTTGGAGGAGCGCACCCCCCTCCCCCCACTCAAGCCGGGAGCTCCCGGGGCAGTGAGAAGCCCGGGGGACAGGGGCAGAGACTGACGGGGCGGGGTGGGCTGTGGGACCGGAGAGGCACGGGCTTACCTGGTGGAGAAGGCGGCCTCCCCTGCGTGATGGGCGCGCATCGTCACGCAGCATCATTCAGCCGTGGGGCGCCCTCTGACCGCCATGCTCGGTCCCACGGGGGGAGGCCGGCTTCACCCCAGGAATTCTCGCGTGTCTGGTTTTCCCTCCTGGGCCTAGAGCCGAAGGAAGCTACCCCACAGATGAGCTTTCTCTGATTTCCTTGTTCGCATTTCCTTAGAACAGCGGTTCTCAAACTTCAACTGTCATAGAAAATACAATTTTAAATATTCCCTAATTTATTTCAGAAATAACAACTCTATTACGTGTAACGAGGCTTGCGGGTTTTTAGAGGGGAGGATAACAATGTTTCTCCCCAAATTTTAGGGCAAGGAGTGGTATTGGTTTTCATGTTTGCGAACCTCGTGTCCGCCCTAGAAGATGACAGTGTCATTCTGCCGGCTTCTGCGCTCTGTGTCGCCATTGCGTGTGTCCCAGAGCCTCCGGAACACTCCGCCGCACACTCAGAGTGAGAAAGGAAAAGGCAGTCACGGCCTGGCATTATTATGGAAACAATTTTAACTAAATGGACCCCCCGGGCCGCACTTTGAGAACCGCTGATGTAGAATAATGTTTTCCTTATCATAAAAGAAGTTCCACACGCATTGTGGAGAAACTTTAAGTATTTGGGAAACTGGACAGAAAACCATAAAAACTGCCCGCTGTGTTACCAGCCAGTGTTTGTGTTTTTTTTCATAGTAAAGTGTCACCACCAGCAAGTGGCCTGGATTCGAGGCAGGTTGGGCCGTTGTAAGTGTCCTTCAGGTTTCGGATGGGGACGAGGAAGCTCCGATATTCCACAAAGCTGATGCTGGTTCCCGGTTGCAGGCAGACCTGAGCCGGAACCTTCTCCTTGGCCGTTGTCTTTTCTAAGGACCTCGCCTTCCAGAGCCCGTCGGCACAGAACTGCCAGGGGGCCCTCTTAGGAGCAGAGAAAATGGTGGTCTTCAGGCAGCTGTCCCTGGGCGTGAAGGCCGCCCTGGCCGCTGGCACTATCTTCGTGTCCATGATAATCTCCCGCTCCTACCTGTCTGAGAGCCTTGAGCTTGGAGCCCGGCGCTGGCTGGTCCGCCTGCAGCTTGCCCTGTTTGTCAACTCGCTCATGCTGATTGGCTCCCTCTACATCTGGCGGAGCACAGTCAGCAACCTTAGCCACTCCCCAGCCTCGGAGTCGGCCTGTTTTCAGCTTTGGAAGGTGGCCGTGGTGACATTTCTGGCCCTGGCCCATTCCAGTTTCTTCACCATGATCTTTCTGGTGGCCGAGGAGCCCTATCTGTTTTCCTTGGCCGCCTACTCCTGCCTCGGGGCGTACATCATCATGCTCTTCTTCCTCTGTACCCTCAGCGGCATGGAGCAGGCCTACCAGCTCCTGGCCTGGCGCAGCGGTAGGGTCGTGGGCAGCCTAGACAAGACAAGGAAGCTGACCCTCAGGCCGGTCCTGGCAGTGGTGGTGACCACCGTGCTCAGCGTAGCCGGGCTTCTGAACGCTGCCCAGCCCCCGCTGGTAAAAACTGTGGCAGTGCCCATCCATCAGCTGCCCCCCTCCATGGACAACCTCAAGGTCGTGCTCCTCTCGGACATTCACTTGGGCCCCACCGTGGGCAGGACCAAAATGGAGATGTTCGTGAGGATGGTGAACAAGCTGGAACCGGACGTCACAGTGATCGTGGGTGACCTCTGTGATTCAGAAGCTTCCATCCTCCGGACAGCCGTTGCTCCTTTGGGCCAGGTTCATTCACGCCTGGGCACCTACTTTGTCACAGGGAATCATGAATACTACACGTCAGACGTCAGCAACTGGTTTACACTGCTGGAGTCCCTGAACGTCCAGCCCCTGCACAATGAGAACGTGAAGATTTCCGCCACAGGGGCCCAGCGAGCTGCTGGTGAAGATGACGACTGGATCTGCTTGGCCGGGGTGGATGACATCGAAGCAGACATCCTGCACTACTCCGGCCACGGCATGGATCTCGAGAAGGCCCTGGGGGGCTGCAGCCCAGACCACACCACCGTCTTGCTGGCTCACCAGCCCTTGGCTGCCAAGAGAGCCCTTCAGACTCGGCCAGATATTAACCTGATCCTTTCTGGACACACACATGCTGGGCAAATCTTCCCCTTGAACGTGGCGGCCTATCTCCTGAACCCCTTCTTTGCCGGTCTCTACCAAGTGGCCCAGACCACATTCGTGTACGTCAGCCCAGGCACGGCCTACTATGGAATCCCCATGAGACTGGGCAGCAGGGCAGAGATCACAGAACTCATCCTGCAGCGAGCTCTCTGAACCTGGCCTTGCCCCGTCTGCCTCCTAACCACCCCCACCCTCTGTTCTTTGTTCCTTTCCAGAGCAGGTCACCTGCTTTACGTCCTCCTGCCCAGCCCTGCCCACACACGCTTGTCATGAGGCTGGCCTGAACAGTGATTTGTGGTGGAGCTGCCTGGCAGGTTAACTCTGTAGACGGCCAGTTGCTTTTTACTATGCATTTGTGAGGTCACTAAAATCACATGCGTAGGACAGGCACCTGTTTTCCAGATGACGTGGAGTAAACCTTCCTTCTCTGCAGAGCTCGTAGGAAATAAGCCGAAACATGGGGTTGCTTGAAATGCATACCTCTCGAAATCAGAGTAAGGAAGGTACTCTGAGTGCTTTTTAAACCCTCTTTAGGACTTAGGCAGGTTTCAGAATCATTGATGTCGAGCTTTCTGGGCAAGGGGGCACATTGCTAGGTAACCTGGGAGAGCAGGCAAGATGGAGGCCCCTCTGGCTGCTGAAGAAGAATTTCTTGTCCCCCCTGGTTCTCGCAGAGCCATCTTTATTGCGGGAATCAGCAAAACCTGCTGGAATACAGAGTTCATCCTGTTCCAGACCTTGAGCGATGCTGTTTTACTGCCTGTGCTCCTGGGCCTCTGGGGTTGGGGGTGCGGTGGAAAGAAACTGAGCTTCGTGGTAAGTGGTGGTAATAGTGCTGCGTAGGGATTCAGAGGGTGTTTGCCTCCTTTTATACGATAATTGGGTGAGCTAATTAAGGACAGGCCACTTTCGAAACCCTGTCTAGAAATGAGGAAACTGAGGCAAAGAGCTGTAGGTCAGGCATTAGCAACAGGACAAGGTATGTAGGAGATTCTGGGCTAGAAGTCACACCTTCTTTTTCCCAGTGAAAGTGTTCTTTCCACTGTTGGTGGTCCAGCAGCTGTATCTGATTCAGAGTTACCAGAATTAAGAGAACAAAAAAGGGCCTAGAATCTGATATTCTTTAAAAGTAGTTTGCTTGAAGCTAATTTCAGTTCACTCCTAACTACATGGGCCAGGACCTGGAGAGGAGTCGGCTGGTTTCAGTGTGGGTGTCTGTTAACACTGGAGGGAGAGTTAGAAAACTGGTCCCCCCCACCCCTCACTCTGCTGGCGGTGGGGGGTGGGGGGAGCTGCATGGCAGAGTCTCTCAACCCTGCCTCCCCCTGGGTCCTGGCTGTGGAGTGCGGGGACCATTCTTCCTACTGCCCCCTGGCCTGACCTCATCAGACATGTCCTAGGACTGTGGCCACAGAATCAGAGGGCCATCTGTGCTGGCCACTGGGCCCATGGCAAAACAGGCAGAGGTTACTGTGTCTCCATCGGCCCAGCCCTTGTGAGACCCCTGGGCCCTGGGGCAGCTGTAAGCAGGCCTGTTAGGAAAGGCCTGTCTGAGAAGGTGGAGGGCCGGGGCTCAGCGTTAACATTTTTGTGACTGACAGTCTCTGATGCGAGGTCACCCTGCTGCTCATGGGTCAGATGTGACCTCACCCTAAATGGAGACATTATCATTACCTCAACCCTGTGCTGTGGGCAGGGCACTGGGATGTGGCGCAGGAGTTGCGCGTGGCACAGTCACTGGCGAAGCGCGTGCTGTGGCTGCTTTGTAAACATCAGGTGGGGGCTTGCTAAGGAACTGCGGTGGGTACAGGTGCCTGGGAACTTACAGAACAGACAGTCCTTGGGGTGTGAGTGGGTCGTGTGCCTCCTGCTGCCGGGGCCCAGTGATTTGCTGGGGGGTTGCTTTCTGCTGCCCGTGTTAGGTCTCCGTTGCATGCTCCGCCTGGTGGGTAATGGAATCCCGGGGGATCCTGAAGACCACCTTGTTATGTCCAGAGATTTGGCAGTGGGCCTTCCAGTCCAGTGTGGCTGATTCTGCCTTATGAGACCCCAGACAGGGCCATCCTAGGTGTCCAAGGAATAGTCAGCAGCACCTCCGCTTGGCTTGTAGTCCACGGTGAGGTGGGAGTTTCCCAGCAGAGACTTCTCGTTGCCGTCCAGATACGTCTCCCTCCCCGGCACCCTCTGCACCTCTCTTCCTCACACACTTACCTTTTTTGTTTATGCCTGGAGGAGGTGGTGAGAAATAGTTACTTGGAGCTTGAAAATTCTATTTCCATTTTTTTTAATCTGTAAATTCAAGTTAAATTGAAATGCTTTAAAAAAAAACCAACAATGTCATGTGTAGTATGATCCCATTATTGGGAAATGCATTCACCCCTCTGTCATCCATTCCAAACATCCGTCTGTCTTTTTTCCCCTTGATTTTGTTTTTAGATTTTTTTTATTGAGGAAATGGAAGAAATGTTCACAGTGTAGAGAGAACGGCGCCGTTCTGTCAGCACCCAGCTTCAACAGCTGTGGACATGCCGCTGTTCTCTCTCACTTGTTCCCATCCCACACTCTTTCTCTTTTGGCTGGACTGTGTTAAGGCAAATCTTAGAAAATGTGATGTTACCCCCAACTACTTCAGGATGAATCTTTTCTAGGAAAGCATACACCTAATGCTGTTTTATACCCAATGAAATTAATAGTAATTCTTTAATATCACCTAATACCTCGTTAAAAGGTGTGGGGGCTGGAAGCCCGGTCTTCTACCTCTCAGTGAAAGTGTTTTTTCCAGTGTCTGAAGTTTAGGCCACTGTGTCTGTTAGAGGTGACTACCAGGACTCAAATGCAGTCTATTGTCGAAAGAGTTAGTATGCAGCTTTTCCTGGTTATCTCAGTAGTTGTTTTTTTACACTGTCGTAAAGAGTACACAGCATAAAACTTACCAGCTTACTGATTTCTAAGTGTATAGTTCACCAGTGTTAAGTGTATTCCCACTGTTGTGGAACAGATCTCCAGAGCTTTTTTTAATCTTGCAGATCGGAAACTCTGTACCCATTAAACAATAACAAACAATAACTCCTCTTTCCCCCTCCTCTCAGCCCCCAATGACCACCATTTCACATTCTGTCTCTGTGAATTTGACTACTCTGGGTTCCTACTGTTATTTTTGCGATGGCTTCTTTCACTTAGCACAATGTCCCCAGTGTTCATCCATGCGGTAGCATGTGACAAGACTTCCTTTCTAAGGCTGAATAATATTTCATTGTATGTATATATCGCATTTGGTGTATTCATTTGTCCATCAGTGGACACTTGGGTTGCTCCCACATTTTTTTTTGTTGTTGTTTCTTGTGACTGGTGCTGCTATGAACCTGGGAATGCAAATACCTCTTCAAGACCCTACTTTCTCTTCTTTTGGACTCGTCCCCAGCAGTGAGATTTTTGAGGGACCTCCATCCTGTTCTCCACAGCAGCTGGACTGTTTTACCATCCCACCAGCAGTGCACACGGTCCTCATTTCTCTGTGTTTTCACTGGAATTTGTTACCATTTACTTTTCATTAGTAGTGTGAGATGATAACTTACTGTGGTTTTGGTCTGCATTCCTCTGATGGTTAGTGATATTGAGCATCTTTTCATATCCTTGTTGATCATTTGTATATCATCTTTAGAGAAATGTCTATTCAAATATTTACTCCATTTCTAAATCAGGTTATACAACTCTTTGTTGTTGTTGAGTTATCAGTTCTTTTTATATTCTGTATTATTAACCCCTTATCAGATACATCATTTACAAATATTGTTCTATTGCCCTTAAAGGGTAAAAGTTTTAATGGGTAAAAACCATTTGTTTATTTTTCACTTTTGGATCCTGTGCTTTTGGTATCATATTCAAGAAATCATTGCCAAGTTCTATATCATAAAGCTTACAATCCACTTCAAGTTAATTTTTGTATATAATGTAAGGTAAGGGTCCAACGTCATCCTTCTGCATGAGAATATCTAGTTTTCCCAACCTCATTTGTTGACAAGACTATTCTTTTGCCATTGAATAGTCTTGGCACCTTTGTCAAAGACCATTTGAGCATATATGTGAAGGTTTATTTATGACCTTTTTAAAAAAAGATTTTATTTATTTATTCTTAGAGGTATGTGCCCGGACTAGGAATTGAGCCAGCGACCCTTTGAGTGACAGGCTGGTACTCAATCCACTGAGCCACACTAGTCAGGACAATTTAAGAACTTTTTATTCTATTCCATTGGTATATTTGTCTATCTTTATGCCATTACCACTGTATCAGTTTTATAATATATTTTGAAATCAGAAAATGTGAATTTTCCAACTTTGCTCTTTTAAAAACTGTTTTAGCTATTTGAGGTTCCTTGAAATTTCATATGAATTTTAGGATGATTTTTTTTTATTTGTGTAAAAAATGTCGTTGGGGTTTTGAAAGAGGTTGCATTGAATCTGTAAATCACATTGGGTAGGATGGACATCTTAACAAAACTGAGTCTTTCAATTCATGAACATTGAATGTCTTTCCATTTGTCTTCTTTAATTTCATTCAACAATGTCTTGTATGAGTCTTCACCTCCTTGTGTAGGTTTAGTCCTAAGTATTTTATTCTTTTTGATGCCATTATAAATGGAATTGTCTTAATTTCCTTTCTAGATTGTTCATTGTTACTGTATAGGAACACAGTTGACTTTTGTATGTTGATTTTGTGTTTTCCAACTTTGCCCAATTCACTTATTATTCTAACAATTACTTTTTTAGTGTGTAGAATCTTTAAGACCTTCTACACATAATATCATGTCATCTGTGGACAGAGATAATGTTACTTCTTCCTTTCCAATTGAATGCCTCTTATTTTCTTTTCTTGCCTAATTGCTCTGGCTTAGACTTCTAATACTGTGCTGAATAGAAGTGGTGTTGGCAAACATCCTTGCCTTGTTCTTGGTCATAGAAGAAAAGCTTCAGACTTTCACCATTGAGTCTGATGTTAGCTGTGGCCTTTCATATATGGCCTTTATTATGTTGATGTACTTTCCTTCTATTCCTAGTTTGCTGTTCTGTTATGAAAGGTGCTGGATCTTGGCAAATCTCTTTCTGCCTCAATTGAGATGATCGTTTGGGTTTTGTTCTTCATTGTGTCAGTTGGTGTATTGCACCGATTGAGTTTCATATGTTGAACCATTCTTGCTTTCTGGGAATAAATTTCACTTGGTCATGGTGTTTAATCCTTTTAATGTGTTGTTGAGTTTATTTTGCTGGTATTTTGTTATGGATTTTTGTATCAATATTTATCAGAGTGTTGGTCTATACTTTTCTTGTTATGTCTTGTCTGGCTTTAGTATTAGGGTGATGTTGACCTCATAGAATGAATTGAGAAATGTCCCTTCCTCTTCAATTTTCTGAAAGAGTTTCAGGAGGATTGGTGTAAATTCTTTATTTAATATTTGGTAGAATTTTCTAACAAAGCCATCTGGTCCTGGGTTTTTCTTTGAGGATTTACAGCTACTGATTCAGTTCTTCTTACTAGTTACTGGTTTGTTCAGATTTTTTCTTTCTTCGTGATTCAGTCTTGGTAGGTTATGTGTTCCTAGAAATTGATCTGTTTCTTCTAGGTTGTCCAGTTTGTTGGCATGCAGTTTTTCATAGTACTCTCTTCTAATCCTTTTCATTTCTGTGATATCACTTGTAGTGTTTCCTTTTTCATTCCTAATTTTAATTATTTGAGTCTTCTTTTTTATTAGTTAATCTAGCTAAAGATTTATCAGTTCTGCTCATCTTAAAAAAAACTCTTAGTTTTACTGATTTTTTTCCTATTGTTTTTCTATTCTCTATTTCATTTATCTCTGCTCTGATCTTTATTATTTCCTTCCACTATTCTTGGGTATAATTCCTCCCTTGGTTTCTTGAGGAATTATGTCTCTTTGCAGTTCTTTTGTTTGAATCAGGATTCAAGAACAAGGTCCATATATATTGTATGTGATATATTTCTTAAGTCTCTCTAAGTCTATTAAACACTCTCCTCTTTCATTTTGTATCATTTGTTTATTCAACTTACCGGGATATTCTATCTTAGAATGCTGTACATTTTGGACTTGTGGTTGTGTTTAATGTGTTATCTATTCCTCATATATTTCTGTACACTGGTAGAGGTAGAGATCTATAAAAGTTAGAGCTAGAGGCTGGATAGAATCAAGTTCAACTTTTCCCCTTTTTTGATACAAAGACTTCATTGCTTCAGTGATACTAAGATTGACCCATGGGGCCAGGTGTTAGCTTGGTCCCTCCACTAGAAAGTTTCTCATCAACTTTTTATTTAATGTTTCAGCAGTCCCTGATGATTGCTGCTTAGATTTATTATTCCACTTCCAATTGCAAAATGGCGATTTTTAAAAAATAGTGTGATACATTAAATTCAGACTTTAGTATGCCAAGTGTACTCAATAGGTTTTCTAAGAGTAGTGGGCTTTTATATATTCAAGAGACAATGGGAACTTCTCTAGCCTCAGTTTTGCATTCTGAAGGAGCTTTTGTGGCACTCAGAAATACAGTCCTTCCCTCGGCCCCCAAAACAGTGATTTTCATTTTCATCATGTCTTCTGTATTTATCAGCTATCATTCTTCTGCAAAGAACTCTCCTCATCAGTTGTTTGATTGCTCTGAAAAAGTCTGTAGCAAAGGCAAAACAGACACTAGCTCCTTCTCCTTTGTTCATCGATTTTCAGATTAAATAGTTGCTGCCCCAGCAACCCAGTCTCCAAGGATAACCAATAAGCTTTCTTTGGGATGGGAGAGAGTATTACGAATTTGGTTATTTTTATATATTTGATGTGTTTCAATCCATTGAAGTGATACATCTTTTGATGCTTAAAATACCTCATTTTTGGCCAATTATGTCATTTTGTTGTGACCCTAATAGTTTTTGATAGTTTTAGGCTTATTTTGGACACACTCTGCCCCAAACTTCAGCTAAGTAATTTTTTGAAGGCTCCTGGCTCTTCTTAGTAGATAATATTTACAGACCATAACTTAAATGCTAGGGGAGCTCATTGCTACTGGCCACGGTCAATTCTAAGCTGTTTCGGTAGGTATTGCTAAGAAATGTACATGTTTTTCAGAAAAAGAAAAGAGCTTAAGTTTATAATAATATTTCTAATTCAGATAAAAGATTATGGGCTTTTTCAAAAATAGACTTTATTTTTTTAGAGCAGTTTTCAAAATTCGGCGGAAGACACAAAAATTTCCCCCTTATCTCTGATGACAGGGTTTTTACTTCACTTTCTTTGATTTAGTTTGTTTCTTTTTCACATGGAAAGTTTTGGTTCCTAACAACCCAAAGCAATTACTTAATTACTTTATTTTACTTATACGTTATAGATTCAAAATAGTAATACAATATTAGTACTAAGATGAAATCTACTGAATGCGGGTTGGTTGCTTTGTGTGTTCTGCTTAAATGCAGTTTAAGATGTATTTTTATTCTTAGGCAAGACATAGTCATTTCAGATTCACCTGAAATGATTCTTTCAGGATGTATTTTTATCATTAGGCAAAATATAGTCAAAATACTACTTCAGATTCACTTGGAATGATTCTTTCCTGTGTGTGAAGTGAGGTCTGTTTTTAACTTTTAAGAACTAATTTATATTTTTGAAAATTTATTTAAAAAGAAAAACTATGCACTTTTCTCTGAGATGAAGGGGCATAATTAAACCTGCCAATGTTTGTGAGTCCCGGAGGACTGGGAACTGGCCCCAACTGGGCTCATTTCTCTTCCCTTCTGACATGTCCCCTCCTTTTTCATTGGAATTTAGGCTCTTTACCCACAGTCTTTTTGGATGCTGAATAAAAATCTTTGCAAAACAAGACAGGCATAAGTACCATATTTTGCCTTGTATAATGCACAGTTTTTGCCCAAATTTTGGAAGGAAAAATAAGGATGTGCATTACACATGGGTAGTACTAATTCCATATTTATATAAATGTTTTTAATGCTTTTATTTATGCGTATGCATTAAAAGTATAACTCTAGAAAGCAATCACAATATCCATATGCAAAATAATATCCTGGAATACAATAATTGGTTTTGTTTCTCAATATAAATAAATAAATAGTTTCAATAAAAAATCAAGATGAAAGATTTTTTTTTTCAAAAGTTTGGGCCAAAAACATGGGTGCGCATTATACATGGCAAAATAGGGTAAATAAACAGAAACGTGCATAAGCTTTAGCAGCTCATCCACAAATCTCTCCAGGTCCATGTTCATTCTCACTGTTCTGTGTGGTGGTTTTGCTTCTCCTGCCTGTCTGGTGTAATGGTGTTTCCATGACATTTCGTACTGGAAAGATCGAGAGATCCGGCATAATTCGAGTTGGTTTTACAGTCGTCTGAAATAGTCCTCTTTCTCTTTGTTCTGTGGACTGTGGGGAAGCCGATGATGTGAGAAGACTTGTCCGCCCCCATGTTCTCCCCACCCCATAATCCCTCTCTCCTCAATCCCGGGGTACCAGCAACCTGGGAGGCTTGGGTCTCTGCCACCTTGGCCCTGAACAGCTCATGTCAGGAATTCCCTGGGGCTCTTGGGTCTCTGGGGTGAATTGAAAGGGTCTGTAGAGTGTTGGGGATGGAAACCCATTGAGTGAGAACTTACCAGAGTTACAGGGAGGGACAGAAAGACAACATTGTCACGTGATCAGCACAGCCCCTGTGTAGGCTGTGAGGTCACTGAGCTCTTTTCATTTCTTTAATCTAGTTGAGGAATGTGCACAAGGAATGGAAATATAATCACCATTTTGCCTCAGGGCTGGGAAACCTGGGGAATGTTCACATTACCTGGTGATGTAAATTCCAGTGTTATGTTTAATGGGGTTTTTTAAATGCTTATTTACCACTGAAAGAACCTAAACTGAATAAATAACTTTAAAAATGTCACATTGGACAGTATTAAGTCCCTGATGTCAACTGAATAAATAACTTTAAAAGTGTTATGTTGGACCGTATTAAGTCCCTGATGTAAATTTGGTCTGGGGGTAAACAAATAATATTTGTTGATATTTCTTCGGGGTTTTTACTCCCATTATATATATATATATATATATATATAATGTACACGGGGAACCTTGGGAAGATGTGGTCCTGTCCTTGCTTGGATCGATTTATTGATGTGGGTTGCTGTGACTTTGTGCATTGTAAGTATTTATGCTACCACCCCCCGTAAGTGTGAAATAAAACTGGCTCTTCAGCATTTCGTCCCGCTGCCCATGGATTTAGAAGGGCTGCAGTTTGCACAGATGGCTAACTGTGCACTCTTTTCACTGGGGGGAACAGACTCGGAAGGCAGCCTTTCCTCATTCCTCCTCTGCCCCCTGGTCACCTGCTGTCACTGGTGCCCAGCACAGCGATGCTAAAGAAGCTGGTTCCTGGAGGCCGGATCCTCTCGTAGCCTTCAGGGCTGAGAGGAGCCGCTTTGGAACCATGAAGTGGATTTTCCCTGTTAACCTCGACTGTGGCAGTCATCAACAGGAAGCTCTCTTAGCTGCTGCGTCTGTCTGGGTTGATGCCCTCTGTGGGAGACTTGTTACTTACTGCTCCCCAGATCCGAGTGGCGTGGTGGCAGGGGGGCAGCCCACGGCCGGTCCTCACAGTCCACGTCTCTCCCGGGAGAAAGCGGGGCAGTTAGTAGGGCCCTGGGGCAAGAGCAAATATGTGTACTGCTGGCCTGGCCGCTTACAGACTACTTTTGATCCTTTTTATCGATACTTTTGAAAAGACGAGAATGTTAGCCACAAACCAAAGGCCAAAGGCTGTGTTGATGTTCTAGTAGCCCTACATCCACAGGGCAGCTGCCCCTGGGGCTACTACTTGGTTAGATAAGTAGGTGGCCACCCTCATCCACCATGATCTGTCTGGTTTTCACTGGGGCTCCCAGGTCGTTGGAATGGGGATCTGATGGGGTGGCCTGTGGGTCAGTGGAGGAGGCACTGTGTCTGCAACTTCAGGGGGAATTGTGGTCTTGCTTCAGATTCCTCTTGAGTGGAGATGGGGTCCATTTCTAGGACTTCCCTGTGGCCTTTCCCTCCATAATGGCCCTTACCCGTGGTAGGGGGCTGGGGGTGGCTACGTAAAACCATCCCGACGCATACTCAGGACCCGTGAAATAACCATCAGGTGGTCTCTCTGACTGTCCGACCCACCGTGAGAAGGACCTGGGCCAAGGGTCCCTTTTGCCCCTGGCTCCCAGAGAGTGAGGAGGGAGAGGGATGGCATTTCAGGTCCCCCAGGATCAGTATTGGCTCAGACCATCGGCCTCTCTCCTTAGGACACAGGTGCCCTAAGTCCCATCGGGGGAGGACTGGAGGACTGCTGTGTGTGTGGTGCTTGGGCTGGCATTGCAGGCCCCCCCCTCAAGGGGATCCATCCAACCTTCTGGTCAGTCACCTGGCTGTTTGTCAGAGAGGTGTCCCAGAGCTGGCAGCCAGAGGACGGGACCCATTTGTCACTTGCAGTGGCCAACAGTCAGCCGTTTGTTCATGGGTTCATGACTTGTTTTTCTCTTGTTAGTCACGATGAGTCACACCCTTGCTGGCTGCCCAACCGTCTCACCCTCTAGGAACGCTATGGTTTGCGAGCCATTGCTTAAGATCACTGTGGGTCGGCACACCTGGCCGCCACTCTGGCCTCGCCCATCCTTGGGGTGCTTATACCCACCTGCTCCTGACGGCCAAGCAGTCCCCCTTGTCGGCATCTCGTCATCCCCAGTGACACTAGGGCGGGGCCCAGGGCCGCAGCAGCACCTTCTGTGACCATTTCCCTACGGAGGGCTGCACCCTCATCGGGTTTCCCAGAGAGGCCGGGCTCCCCACCACAGCCACATCCGCCCCCGAAGGGAAGGGCGTCCTGGGGACCACAGCCAGATGGCAGGTTGTCAGGGCACCAGGTTTACACTTCCGCCTCTGCGAGCATCTCACAGCATCCTCAGGATGCCAGCGCAGTGTCGGCATCCGTGGCTCATTCCCTGTGGGCCTATGTCACGTCCAGGTTCAGGGAGCCGTGCCAGCCACACAGCGACGGGGTACAGGTGCTTTACGGAGGTGCTGACTCTCACGTCAGAAAGGGTGCACTGCGTCAGCACACTGACCTCCCTCTGGCTTTGTGTTCCGGGCCCTCAGGATGACTCCCAGTGTTCCCCGTGATTAAACCCGAGCCTTACTCTTCCAGGAGGAAGTGTAGGTCTCTGATCATTGCCGTGGAAGCCCCGTGTGTTCACAGACTGGTCAGAGTGGACCCCCGATCTCTCTCTTCAAAGCTTCCAAGTCTGTTACAAAAGCCAGGCAACCTCACAGCCCTTCCGATGAGCAGTACCACTCCCTCCCACGCCCCATTCCCGGGTAGAGCTAGTGCAGATGCCACCGCTCCCCTCCCAGCACCTCCTCCCAGGCCGGCCCAGGGGCGGGCCTTAGCCGTTGGTATGCGTGGCCCTGGGCCGTCACCACCCACGTAGCACCAGCTGCAGGGCTGCCGTTTGACATGTCTGGGAGATCCGGGTGCAGACTCACGTCCCCACCCTGGTACCAATTGTCTCCAGCTGGGTCTCTCCGGAAGCATAACAGGAAGCAGGCTCGGATGCCCCTGGTCTTAATTCCAGAGCTCGGAAACGAGGGACAGGTGGGAAGAAGCAAAAGCAACGGCCCTGATCCTGCCCAGGTCTTCTGGAAAGTGTACAGGTGTCTCCAGGACTGTCTGCCGAAAAAGGAGACGGCAGTTACTCAGCCCCGCTGGTTGACGGTGTCCCTGGGGGCGTGGACTCCCAGTACTCCTGGGCCCCTGGGACCGCAGAGTCCCGTGGTGTTGGGACAGGAGGGCACAAAGACTCCAGGTGTGAGTTTGAGCTGACGCACTGCCCTCACTAAGGCTACGGAGCTCGCCCAGGACTATCCACAGAACTGCTGCAGACTCCAGCTTGTGTTAGAAAGGGGTTCTCTCCTTTCTCTTTTCATTCTCTGTATGGGAGAGCTTTCATAATGGCAAGAGTGGGGTGCTTCATTACTCTTGGGAGCAAGATACTGTTTCATCATATATGTGTGTGTACATGCATGTATAATACACACACCATGGAAACCATAATTTACTCCTCAGTCCACTTATTTGTATCAACATTTCACTAGGAAAAATTTTCAGACAAAAAGAGAATTGTATACCCACCATCCAAATTAATAGCATTAACACATTGCTATCAACCCATCCCTCTATCTATCCACCAATACGCCTTATTTTTTGGATGCATTTCTAAGTAAGGTACAGACATCAATTCATTCCCCCCACAAACACTCAGACACTTCAGCACGTATATTATTAACTGGAGGGCAATATTAGTTTGTAGCTTTCTTTTTCCCTTTTAAGGTAAACTTTACATACAGTGACATCGTCCTTGCGGCCTTTGATGAGTTCTGACAAATGCATCCACCCGAATGATGCGGAACCCTTATCCGGCTGGAGAATATGACCAATACCCCAGAAAGTCCCTCGTGGTGCTGCCCAAGCCACACCTGCCTCCACTGCCCCAAAGACAACACCTATCCCGATTTTCTCCCCACCATAGATTCGATTCGCCTGTTCCAGAACTTCATCTAAATAAGTCCACACAGTCTGGACTCCCTCGGGCAGGGTTTTTATTCGCTCAGCATAACGTTCTCGAGATTTATCCATATTGTTGCAAGTACCAGTGGTCCTTTTTCATTGCTGAGTAGTATTCCATCGTATAAATATACCACCGTTTGTTTACCCATTCTCCTATCAGCGTACCTTTGGTTGTTTCTGGTTTTGGACTGTTATGGATAAAGCTGCGATGAACATTTTTTATGTCTTTTCATGACCAGATACTTTTGTGTCTCTTGTCTTTACAAGAAACCAAGAAAAAGCCTTTATTTTGAAGGGAAATTTGGTTCCAACAGTGTCGCAGTAAGAACCATAAAAAGTATGCTTATAAGTACACCCACAGGGAAGAAATTGTGGAAAGGGTAATTGCGTGTTTAAAATGCTCCTTATGATGGAAAATTTCAAAAGTGCAAAGAGAACGTGAGTACCCTGCATCTATTAGCCACGACCATCTATTCAACGATGGTCAGCTTTGCTCTGCACACTCTCTGAGTATTTTTGCTCTTTGTTCTTGTGGTCTATAGTAACTTCAGATGCAGTGATCACCCTAAAATACTTCTGATAAGAATGTTTTGTTCTTTGGTGTCATACCATGCCATCGTGACCCCCAACACAATTAGCAGTAATTCTTTTAATCCAATCTAATGCCCAGCCTGTGCTCAGATTCTTTCTACGTCAGCGTGGTTTTGTTTACAAGTAGAGTCGGGATCGAAACCAGGTCCCCACACTGTGTTGGATTGTTATGCTTCTTACGTGCCCTTTTGTTTTCACACAATATTTTATTTGATTCTGTTTCAATACCATCAGTTTGCTAGAGCAGCTGTATCATTAGACTTTGGGGATGTCCCACATTTTGAATTTGCCTCATTGCTTTCCTCGGTGTCACTGGCTTCAGGTTCAGGAATGGGAACTGTGTCTAGGCGAGGCTGCGTGCTTCCTGTTCAGAGAGGCCTGCCTGCTTCATTTTTACGAGACTGACCTGGGGCTGAGGGATCACACAGAGTCCGCCCGGTCCCTTCTTTATCCGCCGAGCTGATGGTTTTACCATCCACTGATGATTTGGCTTAAAATTGTTATTTTACTAAGTGTTAGAAAAGGGTGTTTTTCAGAGTCTGCTCGTCCATCTGCATGTATTAGCAAGAATTCTGCCCTGGCTGATGTAGCTCAGTGGATTGAGCGCGGGCCGCACACCAAAGGGTTGCAGGTTCGATTCCCAGTCAGGGCACATGGCTGGGTTGCAGGCCAGGTCCTCAGTGGAGGCCACATGAGAGGCAACCACACACTGATATTTCTTTCTCTCTCTTTCTCCCTCTTTTCCCCCTCTCTAAAAATAAATAAATAAAAATCTTTAAAAAAAAAAAAGAACTCTGTGCAGAATTTTCCATTGTTGACTGTTCGGTTACCCTGAACTACAGTTTTGATGTGAAAGGGAAATAAACAGCTTGGTTCTTCCCTTTATTTATTTATTTATTTTTTTGAGGAATGAATGATCTCGCAATCTCCAAAGGCAACCAGTGAATTTTCTTCCCCCAGTGTATCATTCCAGACTCACAGGTGTTAATATCCTTGAAGTCTTTTTTTTTTAAATCAATGTCTCTTAAGTCTCTCTTTCTCCTTTTTAAAAATCATGTTCAAAATTTTCCTCCTGGGCAGCGGAGCCTCTAGAGGTTAGCCCCATGCCCTACACCGAACCAAGCCCCCGCCCTGTGGGTCCTCCCCCTGCCCACCTCCCATCGCCGCCGCGGTCCTTGTCTCTGCTTTTTTGCCACTTCAGAAAAAGGCCAGAGTCCTGAGTATTTTAAAACACACGCCTGATTCGCTCGTTCTTCTGTTTAAGCTGTTCTCCACCAGGACCTTGAACTGGGACTTCAGGGCTCATTCGATCTGGCCCCAGCCTGGCGCTGCGTCAGCGGATGTCACGCCCTGTCTGCACTGAGGTGCCTGGCTCCTGCCCTGCGCTGCCACCTGTCTCCCACGCGCGCGCACGCGCGCACGCACAGTTTCCTCTGCGTCACCGTCCCCCTCGGCTAACTCTTCTCCATCCTAGGGTTTCATTTAGGCCAGTAGCTCTCAACCTTGCTGCACCTTACAACATCCGGGCAGCTTTAAGAAATACCAATGCCTGGGCTCCACCCAAGACCAATTAAAATCCAAATGTCTGCAGGGTGAAGCCTGACTTTGCTATTTTTGAAAGCATGCCCTAGTGCGTCTGGTGTTCGGCCAAGGGTGAGAACCACAGTTTGGGGTGGCCCTACCTCTGGGGAACTTGCCTCCGCCCTCACACCCCCATGCCTGGGTTATATGTCATGTATTACCACTGTAGCTTTCTGATTGAATCCTATTTATCCCCGGCTTTATTGAGATATAATTGATGGGTAACATTGTACAAGTTTAAGGTGCACAATGCGAAGATCTTACCTTTACCATCTAGGCCTCGCTGTGTTCATCGTTGGGTTTCTTCATCGTTGGGTTTCTTCCGTGTGAGGCGGGAGCTTCACGTGGGCTGTGTGCGCTGTGCTCACTCGGCAGGTGTTCGATAATATTTCTAACTGGATGACAGGAAGCTATTTACGCTGGAGTTTGACCTGGTTTTACCTACAGGGACGGTGCGGTGCTGTGTGGGGCAAAGGCCAGATTCTACGCTCTGCCAGCATCGTCTCTGGCTACCTCCTCTCCAGCTTTTCCTAACTCTACCTCCTAGACATCAGGGCTTCGAACGGACCTTTCCTTTCCCCAGTTCCGCCCAAAGTGGCTTACTCCTTACCCCAACTCATCAGCCTGCTTTGAACTCACAGGGCTCGTGGGAAACCCTTACTTGACAATTTGTCATAGATAGGCTGTAAAAATGCTTACAAAATTGGGGCTCCTGATCTATGAAATTTTTGTATGTTGTGAGTTTTTTCAGCAGCATCTTTCCTTCGAATGGAAATTAAAGCCTTGGTTTCCTGGAAAAATGAATCGTTATTAAAATGATTATTTTATGATTATGTATTATTATTTTTATGTTGAGGTCACACTATCGAGCTGTAATTTTCATACAGGAAGGCTCCCCATTTGCCCCAAAGCAATCTACTGGAGTGTTTGAGACATGCAGTCACAGTGCCTTGATGTCCCTGGGCTTCAGGCCATGTGTGATCTAGGACACACGCTCCCCCACCATTGCTTCAGGTGTGACCTCAAGGCACCCCCAAGCTCTCACTGACTGTGATGCTGCTGTGAAAAGGGGCTTTTTAAAAGAGTCCCTATTGAGACCTTTGAAAACCTAGAAATACTCAGGGAATCTTACCAACAATGAAATGATGGTAGCTGTGGTTCTGTTGCTACCTGGAGCCTGTTGCTGCCTTGTTCACCCACTAGAGGGCAGTATTGCCTTCTGCTTAACTGTTGGCCTCACCTCTAGGGCCTCCCTTCCCTTTCAGGTCCTAGCATCTAGCTTCTGAAGTCCCACCAAAAAAGTGTCTGTTGAAATTTGATTTGACAACTAGAACCACATCTTGTATCTCAACCCTATAGAGACATACATACATGTGCGATTCTGTATATGCATTACATAATAAAATACTTGTCTTTACTACATGCAATACACTCTATTTTCTTCTCTCCTTTATTAGCATCGTCATCTAAACTGAGTTCATGACTCACAAATCGGGTCACAGCGGACAAGGTGGAAAACACTGCTTTAGGGTTCACTTAGTCTGACATCCTGCACGTTTATGGGTGAAGAGTCGCAGGACGAGGGACTTGCCCAGGTCACTGTGGAGCTTAGAACAACACCTGGGATGAGGCTTCAGGGCCTCAGACTTTCACTCTCTGGCCCACTGACATTGCTGATCTGATACACCCAGCGCTCCGACAGGTCACAGCCGCGGCGAGGGAGGCGTGCACGTGTGTGTGTGGTGCTCCCGGCACACTGGGCTTTGCTATGCCAAAATCAGGGTTACCGCCCGCAGGGTTGCCTCTGTGGGCATCCAACTTGTGTGTCTGCCCCACTGACTGCCATGTCGGTGCTGGACTCTGCGAGGCCAGCTCTGTGGAATCCCACGTGGGGAGCCTCCCTGGTGATTCGGTTTCCTGAGTGAAACACAGTGAGCCCGGTTTGGCCGCGGTTTGCTCTATAGCTCAGAACCGAGCATGAACTCTGTCAGCACGTGACGCAATTAAACAGGCAGGGAGTCACTTACCATGGCCACTGTCTACTTCCAAAAGGCTGAAGGTGCAAGTGTTACAGTAGGGATTTAATTAATTGTTCATGAGAAAAGGCAGGGGGGGTGCAAAGGGACTTTATTAGACACTGAGCTTAATAAACTGGGGGGCAGAAGCCTGTTTGCTTCACCAGGAAGCTGCAACTCTTCACACTCCGTGGGAGCACGGGACTGTGCTCAGCCGAGGAGATTAACACTCCTCCCTTCCCCTTCTGGTACCAGACCGCTGGGGGCTTGAGAGGAGGGGCTGCACCACAGAGGCCTGTCAGTCTTAACTAGGGGGGATAGACCCCTCCAAAACCAGTGAGAGCTTAGGAGATTGGTCATTTTTTAAAAGCTGCCAGTCCTGGCTGGTGGTGTAGCTCAGTGGACTGAGCACGGGCCTATGAACAAAAGGATCACGGTCCGATTCCCAGTCAGGGCACATGCCTGGGTTGCAGTCCAGCTCCTGGCGGGGAACACACGAGAGGTAACCATGCAGTGATTATTTTTCTCCCTCTCTCCTTCCCTTCCCCTCTAAAGATAAATAAATAAAATCTTTTTTTAAAGTTTAAAATAAATAAATAAATAAAAAGCTGCCGGTCTTTTCCAAGCCCAAGTTGATATAATCTCAGGGGAACAAAGAAGCATTTCTCTCTCTCTCTCTCTCTCTCTCTCTCTCCTGCACTCACACGTTCGCTCTCCATAGCCACGTTGCCCTAACAGCCACGTGGTCCATGGTCACGTGGACGGACCCCCACTCAGGCCGGGGGAGGGGGGGGTGGAACCTGAAAGCCACAGCGCAGCAGTGGACCACAGCTGGAAACACACGCTAAGCCAGCCGGATGCTGGACTGAATTGGACTTTAAACTCTGGGCAGTGGCCTTCATACTGGCCCTGCTGAAGACCAGAGCGGACGTTTTCCATGGCGGGGCGGCTGGAGATGGGACATTAGGAAGTCAGGATGGACACTCCTTAGTTTTACATCATCAGTAAAGTCCACCACCCCGTCCCCATGTGGGTCTCAGGAAACTCTTTTCCTCTAGACACTGCAATAAACTCGTTTTGCACCAGTAACACAGTTCTCACGTGGTCTCATTCTCGCTCTGTAGAATGTCTCCCAGAAGACGTTCACGATCGACTACAACCGCAACTGCTTCCTCAAGGACGGCCGGCCGTTCCGCTACATCTCGGGCAGCATTCACTACTTCCGTGTGCCCCGCTTCTACTGGAAGGACCGGCTGCTGAAGATGAAGATGGCTGGGCTGGACGCCATCCAAGTGTAAGTAGGTGGGCCCTGGGCTCGCACCTGGGCCCAGACTCACCCCAGGGGGGGAGGGTGCTTCTCAACTACTTCACTGCTCAGAATGAGAAAGAGCATTGTCTGGTGTTCTGGAGGGGTTTGTCACGGGCTTGACTGGCCCTTCTTCAGATAATTCATCACCTCTTCCAGTCTGGAAGTTCATTGCCAGAAATCATAAAGTGAATGTCAGCTTCAAAAGGCCAGGGGAAGTAACAATGATGGAGTGTTCACCTTGTGCAGGGCATGAGTCCATTTCTTCAAGGCATTACCATTTCTGTTTATAGCTGGTGAAATGAAGTTTTCCCGAGCACATGTTTTTAGCCAGAGGTCCAGCTAGGACTTGAAGATAAGGGTGTTTGTGAGCGGTCATACCTTCTCTCGACTCTCAGGGGGAACATGCCTCATCAGGTAGATTCCTGAAACCCAGTGTGTCTTCGTGGTTCTTTGGGTTTATTCTATAGCTGGGGCTTATAGAATTACCCCAATAGCTATCTCTCTTCATCTCTTCTCCTCTGTTGTTGCAAGGTGACTAACTGGGAGGAACTGAGGTGGCTGGCCACTCTGGTTTTGACACTGTTGATGTGAACTGCCAACAGCTTCGAAAAAATAAAGAATGAGAAAACCCAGAGGCAGATTCCTGG